TGGTCCCTCAGAACCCGTGCCCAGACGCTCCAGGAGGCTGCCAGTGTCAGGGGTGGTGGGGGCATGGTGGTGGGGGGTCCAGGACGATTCTTGCAAGGTGGGTGGCCTGTAAGAACCTGTGCCCGGAGGCTCCATGAGGCTGCGAGTGTCAGGGCGGGGTGGGGGCATGGTGGTGGGGGTTCAGGACGATTTTTGCAGGGTGGGTGGCCCCTAAGAACCTGTGTGCCCAGAGGCTCCATGAGGCTGTCAGTGTCAGGGGTTGTGGGGGCATGGTCGGGGGGGTCCCGGAAGATTTTTGCAGGGCGGGTGCCCCTTGAGAACCTGTGCGCAGAGGCTCCATGAGGCTGCGAGTGTCAGGGCGGGGTGGGGGCATGGTGGGGGGGTCCCGGACGATTTTAGCAGGGTGGGTGGCCCTAAGAACCTGTGCTCAGAGGCTCCATGAGGCTGCCAGTATCATGATTTTTGCTGGGTGGGTCGCCCCTAAGAACCTATGCCCAGAGGCTCCATGAGGCAGTGAGTGTCGGGGGTGGTGGGGGCATGGTGGGGTGGGTGTCCCAGACGATTTTTGCAGGGTGGGTAACCTGTGCCCAGGGGCTCCAGGAGGCTGCCAGTGTCAGGAGTGGTGGGGGCATGGTGGGGGGGGTCCCTGACGATTTTTGCAGGGTGGGCAACCTGTAAGAATTTGTGCTCAGAGGCTCCCTGAGGCCGCCAGTGTCAGGGAGGGGACATGGTGGGGAGGGTTCAGGACAATTTTTGCAGGGGGCTGGCCCGTAAGAACTTGTGCCCAGGGGCTCCAGGAGGCTGCCAGTGTCAGGAGTGGTGGGGGGCATGGTGGGGGGGGTCCCAGACGATTTTTGCAGGATGGATGGCCCCTAAGAACTTGTGCCCAAAGGCTCCAGGAGGCTGCCAGTGTCAGGGGTGGTGGGGGCATGGTGGGGGGGGGGGTCCCGGACGATTTTTGCAGGGTGGGTGGCCCCTGAGAACCTGTGCCCAGAGGCTCCATGAGGATGCCAGTGTCAGGGGTGGTGGGGGCATGGTCGGGGGGGTCCCGGAAGATTTTTGCAGGGTGGTTGGCCTTTGAGAATCTGCGCCCAGGGGCTCCAGGAGGCTGCCAGTGTCAAGGGTGGTGGGGGCATGGTGGGGGGGTCCCGGATGTGTTTTGCAGGGTGGGTGGCCTGCAAGAACTTGTGTTCAGAGGCTCCTGGAGGCCGCCAGTGTCAGGGAGGGGTGGGGGCAGGTGGGGAGGGTTCAGGACAATTTTTGCAGGGGGGGGGCCCGTAAGAACTTGTGCCCAGGGGCTCCAGTGTCAGGGGTAGTGGGGGCATGGTGGGGTGGGTCCCGGACGATTTTTGCAAGGTGGGTGTCCCCTAAGAACCTGTGCCCAGAGGCTCCATGAGGCTGCCACTGTCAGGGGTGGTCCCGGACGATTTTTGTAGGATGGGGGGCCCCTAAGAACTTGTGCCCAGAGGCTCCATGAGGCTGCCAGTGTCAGGAGGGGTGGGGGCATGGTGGGGGGGGTCCAGGACGATTTTTGCAGGGTGGGTGGCCCTGATAACCTGTGCCCAGAGGCTCCATGAGGCTGCCAGTGTCAGGGGTGGTGGGGGCATGGTGTGGGAGGTCCCCGACGATTTTTGCAGGGTGGGTGGCCCCTAAGAACGGGTGCTCAGGGGCTCCAGGAGGCCACCAGTATCACGATTTTTGCAGGGTGGGTGGCCCCTAAGAACTTGTGCCCAGAGGCTCCATGAGGCTGCCAGTGTCAGGGGTGGTGGGGGCATGGTGGGGGGGGGGGTCCCGGACGATTTTTGCAGGGTGGGTGGCCTCTGAGAACCTGTGCCCAGAGGCTCCATGAGGATGCCAGTGTCAGGGGTGGTGGGGGCATGGTGGAGGGGCTGTCCCGGAGGATTTTTGCAGGGAGAGTGGCCCCTAAGAACTTGTGCCCAGGGGCTCCAGGAGGCCACCAGTGTCAGGGGTGGTGGGAGAATGGTGGGGGGGGGTTCAGGAGGATTTTTGCGGGGGCAGTGGCCCCTAAGAACTTGTGCCCAGAGGCTCCATGAGGCTGCCAGTGTCAGGGGTGGTGGGGGCATGGTCGGGGGGGTCCAGGACGATTTTTGCAGGATGGGTGGCCCTAAGAACCTGTGCCCAGAGGCTCCATGAGGCTGCGAGTGTCAGGGTGGGGTGGAAACATTGTGTGTGCGGGGTCAGGACATTTGTTGCATGGGAGTGGCCCGTAAGAACTTGTGCCCAAGGGCTTCAGGAGGCTGCCAGTGTCAGGGGTGGTGGGGGCATGGTGGGGGCGGTCCCAGACGATTTTTGCAGGATGGGTGGATCCTAAGAGCTTGTGCCCAGAGGCGCCAGGAGGCTGCCAGTGACAGGGACGGTGGGACGGGTCCTGGACGATTTTTGCAGGTTGGGCGGCCCTAAAACCTGTGCTCAGAGGCTCCATGAGGCTGCCACTGTCAGCGGTGGTGGCGGTGGGGGGTCCAGCGGAGGGGGGTCCCGGACGATTTTTGCAGGGTGGGTGGCTTCTAAGAACCTGTGCTCAGAGGCTCCATGAGGCTGCCAGTGTCACGGGTGATGGGGGCATGGTGGGGGGCTCCCGGACGTTTTTGGAAGGGTTGGGGGCCCTTAAGAACTTGTGCCCAGGGGCTCCAGGAAACTGCTACCAGTGTCAGGAGTGGTGGGGGCATGGTGGCGGGGGTCCCGGACGATTTTTGCAGGGTGGTTGGCCTTTGAGAACCTGTGCTCAGAGGATCCATGAGGCCACCAGTGTCAGGGGTGGCGGGGGCATGATGGGGGCGGTCCCGGACGATTTTTGCAGGGGGAATGGCTCCCAAGAATTTGTGCCCAGAGGCTCCAGGAGGCTGCCAGTGCCAGGGATGGCGGGGGCATGGTGGGACGGGCCCAGGACAATTTTTGCAGGGTGTGACGGCGCGTAAGAATTTGTGCCCAGGGGCTCCAGGAGGCTGCCAGTGTCAGGGGTGGTGGGGCATGGTGGCGGGGGTGTCGGTTGGGGGGGGCCCTAGAACAGAGCTCCGAGGATGGTGCGGGGGTCGGGCCAGGTGGGGGGCAGGATCGGTGCCGGGGCAGGAATTGTCGAGTTGTCGGTTGGGGGGGGCCCTAGAACAGAGCTCCGAGGATGGTGCGGGGGTCGGACCAGGGGGGGCAGGATCGGTGCGGGGATAAGCATGGTCGAGTGGGTGGTCCCTAGAACAGAGAGAATAAAGCTGCGAGGATGGTGCGGGGGTCGGGCCAGGTGGGGGGCTGGGTCGGTGCGGGGGAAGAATTGTCGAGCGGGACGTCCTTAGGACAGAGCTCCGAGGATGGTGCGGGGGTCGGGCCAGGTGGGGGGCAGGATCGGTGCCGGGGCAGGAATTGTCGAGTGGGGGGTCCTTACAACAGAGCTCCCAGGATGGTGCGGGGATCGGTCCAGGTGGGGGCAGGGTCGGTGCCGGGGCAGAAATTGTCGAGTTGGGGGTCCCTAGAACAGAGCTCCGAGGATGTTGCGAGATTCGGACCAGGTGGGAGTCAGGGTCGGCGGATATATGCACCAGGCGAACAATTGAGCCTCACACGCCTCTGGGGTCGGCGGACTTTTCGTCCACAGCCTGTAGGGGGACAGGCCCGACCTGGATTTATGTTTCTTCTGTCTTCGTCTTCCCTATCTTCGTGGCCTTTCCTCATCTCGCGCTCTTTCGCCGTGTGGCGCGCCCGGCGCCACTGGTCTACCGTCTGGAGGTCGTCGGGCCCCTGGTCACAGGCACCAGTGAAGTCTCGATGCTTGGCACGTCTGGTTTTCATCGAGCCTCTCACATTTTATGATCCATCTCTAACGGTGCTTGATGCTGAGAGCGCACGGGCCACACGCTCGAGATTCTTATACGTGTGCTTTGTCAGCAAGGAGGCGGAGACAATAACAAAGTGGCATCCGTGTGTTAAGTGGCGTGTGCCGCAATCGCTGACCCCTGGGGCTGATGCGGATTCTCCCGTCTAGGATCAACGTCTATCGTCGGCGTTTGCCTTTTGTGGGTCGCTGGTGGACCTCATGGGAGTCGGGCGGCCTTGGGGCCATCTTCGGGGGGGGGGGGGGGGCGATTGGGCTCCAGGGTCTCTTCTTGGGCGTCTCAGGGATCTGTTGGGCTCCCTGGCAGTCTTGGGGAGCTCTTGAGGGCGGCGGCTTGGACACTCTTCAGACCGAAAAGGTGCGAATGCCATCATCACGCGACACGCGACACCCCAACACCCCTACGCAACACCCCACTGCGGACGGTGGGCTCTGGAAACATGTCGCGAGAGGCCCCGAGAGCGCGGCCGTGGCGCTTGGGAGTCGGGGGCAATGGGCCCCAGAGAGGATTCCAATCCGTCTGGTCGAAGGGCTACCGAGGAGCTGAGGATACTCCGCTCAGAGCCTACGGCACGGTGTCTGATCCAGCACACGGAAAGTATTATTGGCTGTCGATGTCACCGACGAGACATGGGTCGTTGCCCACGGTCAGCGGGCTGACGATTTCAATCATTCTGCGCAGCGCGGGCAGATGCGAGTCCAGGCGCCCCGCTTTGAGACATAACCCGCATGCTTTTTGTTGGGCCTTTTGTGCCACTTCAGGATGTGTCCTCGCCACTCGTCCCTTCTCGTCCTTGATCGGACCTCGGTTGCGCTGAGCCGGCCCCATTGCATCGTCGTTTCGTTCAGAAGTTGAGCACGACATCACTTAAGGCAGCAAGTTGAGTTTCGGTTAGAAGCTGTGCTTAGAAGTTCAGCAGGCCTGATGTTGCCACCAGAAGGCGAAGCGCGGAAGCGTACATGGCGGCCTGCACATCCGCGGGGGGGGGGGAATTATGGAGGTCTTTTCAAAACGTTTTAGAATGAACACCGTCGAATCGGCGACGGAGTGGCTCTAGGAGCTCCGACAAGAACGCTCGTCTACCTGCACAGTGGTTTTCGAGTTGTTGTCCCACGGCCCCCCAGTGAAACCATCGTTTGCCCTCAACGCCCCCACGAGGCGAAGCACACTGAGCTGAAGGGTGACATCGTCGCCAGCTGCCAGGCCAGCTCGCCCTGTGCAGCACCCTGTCCCCGCGCTCTTCCCCGGCAAGCAGACGCGGCCACCGCGACCACGCGACCACGCGCACGCGCACATAGCTTAGTTACGCAGTACTTGTTTTAAGTCGGGCCTGTCCCTCTACAGGAGGCATGTTCAAAAATAGTGAAAATTAGTCTGGGGACGATTTGATCTATTTTTGAGCATTTTTGGACCGTTAGAAAAATCAAGAACAATAATTCGCTCGGCGCGGCGCGTGATGGGTCTCATCGGTCCAGGCCCTCAGAGCCGCAGACGGCAGGTGCTCGATCCCCAGTGGGGCAGCCCTCCTGTAGGAGGACATGCCCCACCTAACGCTGGCAGACTGTCGTCTCTTCGTGTGTCGGGCCTTCTTCTGACCAAGGGCGCGGCGTGCGACAGCGAGGGCCCTGCGGGCCGGCGGGCGGGGGCTCCAGCACGCCGAGGTGCATAGGAGTGGTGTTCGCAGGTTCTGTAAAATCGCAGGCGAAGGAGAAGGAGGAGGAGTCGGAGGAGGATGAATAGAAAGAGGAGGATGACCGCGAGACAGGTGAAAGAGAGGAGGAGGAGGAGGAGGAGCAGGAGGAGGAGGAGGAGGAGGAGGAGGAGGAGGAGGAGTGAGGAGGACGAAGAGGACGGCTGGGGAGGGAGGAGGAGGGAGGAGGATTGAGGAGGAGGAGGAGGAGGAGGAGCACGAAACAACTAGGAATGAGGACAGAGGAGGACGAGGGAGGAAAAAGGAGGTGACGATGACGAGGAGGAAGGAGGAACGACGACGACAAGCAAGACGACTACAAGGACGACGATGACGACGACGAGGAAGGAGGAACGTTGATGACGAGGGGGATCATGACGACGAAAGAGGAGGGGGGTAAGGCAGGCTAATGCGGTGCTTGCATGCACGCTGGGGCACTCGCAGGCCATTGTGAGACCTGTCCGTTGCACTGTTATACATTGTGGGGATCGCAGGCTGCTCTTGCGGTATAGGCAGGGACCAGCTTCCCTTTCCATGCGGCGGTCGCAAGTTGTGATGCCCACAGGGTCGTTGTGGTGCCTGCAGGCTGCTAAGGTGTTCGCTGGCTCATCGTAGTGTACTCCAGCCTTGGGCATCGTGCTCGTGTGCGTGATTGTGCGTGTATGAGCGTGCGGATGGTTCTGGTGCGCACTGGTCTCCGGTGTGCCAGTGCGTGTGTTTGATTGCGTGTGCGCGTGAGTGTGTCCCTGTGTATGTGCACGCCTGTATGCGCACACAGTCGTGCTCATCGTCTTGCTTCCCTGTTGGCACGTGTCACAACCCACCCAGGCGTTACCGCTATCTGCGGCCCATGTCCCCCAGGAGAACAGCCTCCTGGTCTTGGGCCTCCTCCTCCCTCCTCCTCCTCCTCCTCCTCCTCCTCCTCCTCCTCCTCATCCGCACAGTCAGAGACCGCTCGGAGGCAGCCCGTGCACGTAAAGAAGCCCAGCGATGCGAGGGGCATTGCAAGGCCTTGTCGAACCCTGCAGAGAATCGTAATGGTCATGACATTTATGTTTTCGACCGCCTCGGCAGCGAGAGTTGTGTCTTGGCGTGCTGGGCTTGTGGCGCTTACAGTGAATTTTTCCCCAGTGATTGTCCTGGGTGCCCCCCCAGTAATAACAAGATAGCGGCCCTTAATGGCCTGAAGACCTGCCGCCACCCCAAGGGAGGCATGAAGAGCAGGCCCTGTTTTGCCAACCCCATCACCCTGGACAGTCTAATCAGGGAAGCGCAGAGCGCGCAGCAGGGGCTACAGCAATAGACAGACGAACAGTCCTCAGTCACATGCGCTGGTCCTCCTCCTCCTCCTCCCCCTCCTCCTCCTCCTCCTCTTCCTCCTCCTCCTCCTCCTCCTCCTCCTGCTCCTCCTCCTCCTCCTCCTCGCCTGTTCCTTGTGATGTGTTCCCACGCTTCCCACTCGTCCTGGAGCGTGCGTCCCGATGAAGCGGGGGGAACGGCTCGGCCCCCTCCCCCAGCCGCCGAGCCGGTGCGCTGGCCCCAGGGGGCAAGCGGCAGCCCCCGGCCGCGCACCCCGAATTCAGGAGCCCTTCTTCGCGTTCCCTGACAACCGAGCCCCAGCCTGTGCCCAGGAGCCGTCCTCCTCTTCCTCCTCCTCCTCCTCCTTTTCCTGCTCCGCGTGCACGCCCGCTCTCGGACAGTCCCAATCCCTGCACACCAGGATGACTACTGGGGCTCACGAGCTTCCCACGGGCCACTCTTTGAGGCCTCGTGGGAGATGCTCCTTGGTGAGCTTCAAAATGGCCTTGTGCCCCCCACTCTGGCTATTGCGGGGTGGGGTGCAAGGCTCCTTGGATTTCCGAGAAGCCCGAACCCGCCAACACCCGCACCGCCGACACCAGAGAACTCCGCGACTCCAGGCGAGATGATGTCGGTGGCTGCGGTTGATGGCTGGCCCCTCCTCGTCTAACATGGCTACCCCCCCCTTCTCGGCGACGCTCCCGATCAGCTCGGCCCCGACGGCTGCGGGGGCTTGGCACGGTCGGAGCCACCTGGCGCAGGCCCTCCTGTGGGTCTGCTTCCCACAGCGGTGACACACTACTTGGTCGTCACGCACCTGGGGCAGGTGCGGGGTCGCCGAGAGGAGGCGTTGACAGGCCCTATCACTACGGTCCTGCCGCCGAGCCCGTTTGGTTTCGGCGGCCTCCTCTTGCACTGGGAAATGGGTCCACCACAACATCCGGACCGCCGCCAAGCACCCTCGGATCTGAGCTGCTAGGGTGTCGAGGGCCAACACCCGCTGAGCTAGGTCTTCGGGCACTGCGCCACGGGCGGCGGCTTCGCTTGCGAACCGATCCGCCTGGTCATTGACATACCTAGGCTGGAAAACGGGCGCGGACCTCGGGTTCGGTCGCGTGATTCTTCACCTTGAGGTACCGAATTTGGCCCTCGCGAGGTCCCAAGACGCGCCAATACCCTATCCAGAGCCGCCTATTGGTGGGCATCATCCTACGGGGTCCCTTCTGGTGGCCCTTGACGAGTTACGCCGAGTCTGTAACCACCAAACGGTCCCCTTGGGTGTGGCGGAGGAGCTCTAAGGCCCCTTTGAGCTCCGCTCGGTTTATAGTCTGGGCCCCAAGGACATTCCCTTGTAGAGTGCCGAGGGTTGTTTAATCTTCTCCCCGGACCCCCACGCCCCATCCAACTCGCCTGAGGCGGGGATCGGCCGAGACGGCCCCCCCTGAACCATCCATGGAGCCGAGGCGCCACCCGCCCCTCGCTTCGGGAGGGTCCAGGAAGGCGCCCGTCCCTTGCAGGACGGGGTGCTTGGACGTGGCGCCTCTATTGCTTTCAGGGCGAGTCAGCTGGTATCAGCGTATCAGCCTTCTGATCCAAAGGCAGGCTGGCTGGTCATCTCCCTGGGCGAGGTCCTCGCGGTCTTCGGTGGCCTGTATTAGGGGGTGCCCCGCCTGATGTAGAAGGGGGCAGTCCCAGAACTTGTGGTAATCATCGCAATGGTGGTCTCCATAGAGAGGGCAATCTGCACTCTCGGTGATCCCTACTTCGAACCTGCGACGCGGCCTCCATGCTGAGCACTTGCCGACGGCCTTGAACGCCTTCGCGAGTTGCTGCTGGCCATCCCTGCAAAGACGCTCGATCTGCAATCGCGAACTCTTGATATCCACTCCTCCCTGACATCCTCTTGCAGCGTGTCCTCCCTGCGTTCCTCCTCAAACCTTGTGATGGAGAAACTGCTGGATACTGCACATAGAATAGTCCTGGTCCTTAAGCTTAACTGGGAAAACCTCGCCGGTTGGGCCTGTCCAGGACCATGCCGAATCTGGGCTCCACCCTGGGTCCAGGAGGGTGCCGATCACGGCACTGAGGGGGCCTCTGGAGCTTTGCAACGACCTTCGGCCAGGTTGTTGCGATCCCGCTCCTAAGGTGCGACTCCGTCGCTACTACCAGCTAGAACCACGTCTCAAACGGGCGGTGGCGCAAAAAGATGGCGGCGCCCAGGGCGTGGGGCGGCAACTTGGACTGGTGAAGGCCTGCCGTGAGGCAACTTCCTGGGTTGCGGATTCCTAGTCGTACGCCTGCCGCTCGCTTGTGTCTGGTGAGTTCGGTAGGAGAAACGCCATGGCCTTCAAGCCCCCAGTGTAGCTGTGGTTGGGCTCCCGCCCGATAGAGACGGTGGGCGCTCTTGGTGATCTTCAGGGGCCCCTTTCCTATGTCGCTTGAACCCAAGACGCTGCCGTGCTCTACGACCCTTGAGGATCCTGCGCTTCCCCGCTGTGGAGTCCAAGCCGAGGTCCCTGGTGCCCAACTTGGTCTGGAGGGGGGTCCCGAGGTTGTGGCAACTCGTCTGGATCTGATTTCGGAGGTCATTGTTGTTAGGCAATAGCGCTGACTTGGGGGAAAATTTGCACCCACGATCTATCACTCCTGCCTTGATATACTACATGGCCTCGGGGAAATCGACGAGCAAGGACCTGCTGGAGCCGACCATGCGTGTGCGCAAATCGTCGACTCATGTCCTCATAGTGAAACGGGAGACGCGGTGGTGTGCCTGATGGAGGAGATCATCTAGAAGAACTCTTGTACACGCAACGCTCTGCCCGCACCCTGCCAAGATACTACGCTGATGAACGATAGCGCGGCTGACCCCCATTTCTGTCGTGAGGTGCCGCACTGCAGATGGGTCATGATCCCGAGATTGAGGCAGATGACGGGGTGCCCCATGTCTTTCGCTTTCTGAGCTAGGGCTGGGGTGTGAATTGTGTTATAGAGCTTCTATATATATATATATCTATCCAGGAGCCCCTGTACTATCTTGATCTTGAGCTCGGAACTAATATCTGCAACAAGTGTGGAGATGATCCCCACGCGGAGACAACTGGATCCTTTGATTGCCGCATCCCAATGTCCTGCCTTGGCCACCTCCCACTTGCTGATTTCCCCCCTCCTCATTCGCATGAGCAACCTGTAGGACGAGGTAGAGGGGGTTGTCGGC